TCGTAACTCTAGGGTTTTCGAAGATGTCGATGTGTTGCAGGAGCTGTAAGAGTAAGGCTTGGGTTGTGATTGATCACGCGGCGAGGAAGACAAGTTGCTCAGAGTGTGGTTTTGATTTTGGATATTACGCAATCAAAGAAGAAGGTGTCGATTTAGCGGAGATCGATACCGTTCGTCTCGGTGATTCGACTTCGTTCGATGATTTCTTGTCCTCTTTTAATGGAAATCCACAGAAACTTAGCTCCGATCTCGTCTCCATCTCAGCTATGTGCGATAGGTAATGTTTTATTTTTCTTAGAAGAAACAGAATTTTCTTTTTACAGAGACGTTAAAATGTTCGATTCGTCGATTTTTTTACAGGTTGGGTCTTCTTGCAACAGTTAAGGTAAAGCTTCTTGTTCGTCTATAAACAATTCTGAACGAATAGTTTAGTATACAGAGAAGTTTGAAATTGGTGTGTTCCTTGATATGTAGAGTCAGGCTTATGAGATCTTAAAGAAAGTGGAGTATAAAAGCAGGAAAAGAAATCGAAACGCCTTTTTCGCTGCTTGTATCTACGTTGCTTGTCGACAAAACGATATGACTCGGTCTATTTGGGGTATATATATCGAAACTTGAAAGATTTTGGTTCCTTAATTTTCTCGATGTAGCTTGAAATCAGCTTCTTCAAAGCCTTTTTTCTATGTAGAAATATTCTCTGTTGCCAATGGAGCAACGCGTTCGGATATTAACAAGGCGATTGGGGTCATAGCTAAGACACTGAACATCGAGAAAAATTGGTTGATGCGTATCAAAGCTGCTGGATTTATAGTGAGTTTGCGCTTTTAAGCTTTTGCTGCATCGACCTCGGGGTTAGTAGCTCTCACTTACTGACTTTGTATTCATCTGCAGGATCGGTTTTGCTCTAGCCTTGGAATGTGTAGCCAAGCAGTTAACGCTGCTCACGAAGCTGCGAAAAGTTTTGAATGTGTTAATAGGTACCTTCGTTATTTGGGCAGTTTATGGAACTGGGTGGATAAGTAAGCAGACTTGAAAAACTTCATTTCTACTTATTGCAGTAGTAGTTCTCCTCTATCAGTTGCAGCAGCAGTCATATATGCCATTGCTCGACTTTCTGATCAAAAGAAGCCGCTCAAAGGTTGATTTTAAATCTCCATCTAAATAGCAAGCCATGAGCATAATCAGATCAGTTCTTCTCTTTCTCTAACTTAAGTACACTTCATGTGTTGCAGGTATAGTAAAGGCCACTGGAGTTGCAGAAAACACTATACGAAAAACATACAGGAGCTTGTATCCACATCTGTCAACAATAATACCGAAGTGGTTTGCCGAGGCAAAAGACATGAATGCTTTGCATTCCTAGGCAAAGGACATGCAAAATCTACGAGAAAACAAGCTCACTCACTCAAGGAAGCTTTTGACTTTCCATTTTTTTTTCTTTCTAATGCCCTTACAAGATTCTTAGTATGCCTTGTAGAAAAAACATAAAGTTGTACATATTACCTCATCAATATGCATCTCATCAAAGTTACTCCCAAGTGTGTGTATGCAAACTTTCAGTTATTTCTTTTTGTGACTTTGTCAAAGAATACAAGACCATTAAGTTTCTTTTGGTCACATTTATGGTAAGACAGGGAGGTCTATAGAACTGAAGGAAAAGAAACTGGCACGGCCCTGAGCGATATGACAGAACATCAATGGTGCAGCTACGCGCTTTTGCAGGACTTTGATTTCTTCTTTGCTTGGTGGAGAGTCACTGTAAAAGAGGAGAGTATATTGAGTAAGAAGTGCAATGAAAAACTTGCTTTTATATATCAAACTCACAAAAAAGCTTACCCCGAGAAGCAAGCCACAAAGCTCGGTTCACCAGGACATGACTTCTTGAACCGTCTGTTTGGCAAATACACGTCAAACACCGCTCTTGCATCACATATCTGCATATCTCCCAAGAGTTTAGTTACAGTATCCTTGTCTTCAGGACATTCACCAGCACAAACTGACTCTTCTTCACTAACTGGTGTCATAATTGCAGCATCCTTTGACGTCCAACGAACTCCATGCCTGCTTAGGATGTAACCTAGACCCTTTAAGTATCGATAAACCTCGTAGTTTTCCCAACAGCAGCCGCTTTTTCCCTCTGCAATTTTCGCATACAAGTCCTTCAATTCGATCACTGCATCATCCTCATCACCCAAGAATTGCAACTCTCCTATTTCACTCAAATACCTGCAAACCCAAGAAGAGAGTGCTTTAGAGGGAGAGACTTCATCATATGATTGAGTAAACACAGCAAATCTAAAACACTTTTCTTTGGTAAAGACTAATCCAAAAACTTAGTCTGACACATACAGAGCCTCTTCGATGAAACAATATGTCTTTCCGCTACGAATGATTCCAGTTGTTGTCCAAAGTTTCCCCCTTTTCACCTCTACTTCAGCCATTCCTAATTCTGCAATCCAACGAGCCTTGGAAGATCCTACTCTACAATGTGGAAACACAGAAAAGAAGAGAAAATTTATAAAGAGAATAGTTATCTAAAGGCGGATAGTGAAATCCAGAAACGAGTAGCTGAATAAAATCCACCTGAATTGTAACCTGGGTCCTGATCCACTAGATTGAAACTCTTCGTCATCATCGTTTGGAAAACAAGCTTCGTTTTCGCTCGAAGACGAAGCCTCCCAGTCTTTTTCCTCCATTAGCTTAGAGTATTAACCTTCGCTTCAGTCGAAGAAATTCGCAGGGGCAATTCGTCGAACAGTTGGTGAACAGCTAAATCTGTCTCTTAAAAGGCTTCAATTTCCCGAAGGTCGTGAGTGTGCGTCGTGTGCTTCCGCCTTCTTTGGTTTGAGTTTTATTGTACCGAAAATAAGGAATTAAGACCCATACCGAATTAGACCGCGAATTGATACTTTCAATTTTTTTGTTTTCAGAGTAAATGAAAAAATGAAAAAAAAAAATTTGATTTAAAAAGTTTCAAATCGTGAATAAACCCTTCACATTCGCTTTCTCTTTCTCCTGCTGCAGAGCTCGAATCCAGTATCAATGGCGAACGACCAAGAGATGAGTGGATGGACTGATCTTCTCCATTCTTCAACAAAGCTCCTCGAGCAAGCGGCTCCTTCGGCTCAGTTTCCTCCTCTTCAGGTTTTTTTTTCCGATTTTCGATTCCGTTTGTTTGTTCTCTTTGGATTGAAGAATTGGTTATGTGATTCTTATCCCAACGAGCTTAATTCGAAAATGATATCTGTGTGTGTGTGTTTTAGAGAAATTTGGATCAATTGGAAGCATTGTCGAGGAAGCTTAAGGCTAAAACCCTAAGAAACGAAGCTCCTTCACAGTCTCTTGCTGCTACAAGGTACTATTTCCAACTTCGATAATCCCTAGGTCTTACGTTCAAAGAACCAAACACAGTAGAATTGCCCGGTCGATCATTTCAGAAATTATGTGGATTATTTCATAAGAGAAGGTAGCGTAGCTATGCAGCTGAGTGATGATTTTTGTTAATCTTTATTTTTGGTTTGGATGTCACAGACTACTTGCACGGGAGGGAATCGATGCAGAGCAATTGTCTCGTGATCTAAAGTCATTTGAGTTAAAGGTAAGCATTCTATTAGTATTCTGTCTCTATCACCTAGTTTTTGTTGCTCTTTGTTTTGGTGGGGGTTTCTTTGAACGATTGCTATGTGTTTTGGTGGGTTTGCTTTGGGGAAATGTATATATGTTGGCTTTCGTCGGATACTTATTGTAGTCGTCTAAAACGCAGATTTATGACCAGTTACTTTAATATGACAAGTCTTTTAACTATACTCGGTGCTACTGAATGACCTTTGCCTAAATTGTTTCTCTTTTTCCGGTCTGTAAAAGACGACATTTGAGGATGTATTCCCTGCCGAGACAACAAGTGTTGAAGAATACCTGCAACAGGTATTATATATCTAAATGCTCTTTGAAAAGTCCCTTGTTTAGATTACAGATAGATTCTTCTGGAGATCATTGATCGTTCTATACGCATGATTCTTGTCTCTAGGTTCATGAGATGGCAATGGTATCAGCTATACAGGAGGCCCAAAAGGATAATGTTCGAAGCTTTAATGATTACATGTTGAAAGTATTGGAGGTCAGTACAACGACTTACCACAGATTGCTTTTGACTTGATTTCTATGTTAGTTTTATTAGTCTTTTCGTTTACCTTCATGTTAGTCTTGTTTCTAATGGTTTTAGAGTTTTTTCTTCCTCGCTTTTGTTTCTTCTCATTATGCTTTTGCAGACAAAGATTCGTAAAATTATATTAGCATAAGACAGTAATTGAGAAACGGAAGAATTTTCTTCATCCCTACATATTTATGGTATTGTAATTTGGAAATTCCTGGCGAAGGATTTGTTTGAAGCTAGCTGTGTTGCTTATTGCTAATTAGAAGGATGCTTATTCTAAATTGATTTCATGTCCTTTTCCATATATTCAATCTGAAATCCTATTCTGGCAGGAGGACTGTAGAAAAGAAAAACGTGACTTCCTTCAAAGCCGTAGCAGAATTTCAATGTCACCTAAGACCAAGATGATCGACAGAACCAGAGATACTCATGTTGGTCAACTAGTGCCTGTGGCTTTGAGTCCTCAAGTATCTTCAAAACCTGGAACAGAACTCGTGTCTCTGCCCACTCATGAGAAAAAAGCATCTGTCTATGCAGAGGTTGTGAAGAACCTAAACTCTTCAAGAGAACGAGGCTTGCAATTTAGAGTATGCCTTCCCATACCTCCTTGTAAATTCTATAACAGTGGTGCATTTTGAACGACTTCCTGTTTGAAAGTAGTAGCTGAAGATTATGCCTTTTTTCTTACTACTGTTATTCCTTGAGCTGAAATTTTCAAAAATTCTATACACAGTTCACCTCCTTTTGATGATGATTGCCTTTGGTGCAGCATCAATTTAAACTAGTTGACCTTGTAAGGATTTTTCCTACTAAATTATCATTTATACTTTTGTATAGCCTGCAATATCCTTCAAGAGTGCTTATGAAAGTCTAGGAATTGATATGGCTCGTGGAAAATCAGCCGGCATGCAGAAAATATGGCAACTTATTCAGGTTATCTTTTTATTGGAAGTTTCATTTTCCAACAATTGGCATCTTTAAGGACCGTTCTTACATTTCCAAGGCCTTTAACAATCTATAAAAACAGGCAATGACAGGTGAAGATTCAGCAGTACAACAGGGTGTTTCCAAAAGGTCCAAAAGGATGTCCCTCGTGATAGGTGCAAGACGCCACTTGGAATGTGGGCATGAGAAATATATAATGGATACAATTCAAAGTCATCCTACACAAGTACTCGTTTCTATCTTTTTTTTTGTTTTGCGTGTAAATGTTATCTAACGCATTTTACATTTGTCTCGATGCATCTTTTTAATAACTTGAATGATGCTTTTTGAAAAGGTGCGTGATCAATCAGTCTGAGTTCAAGTGCGTTAATAATCAGAAAATGTTTATATCCCCTTTTTCTTATCTTGTTCTAGGCAGCTCTTGGTGGATCTGTTGGAAATTTGCAAAGAATTCGTGCTTTCCTTCGGGTTAGTGCCATAGATTTAATAAAGTGTAACACGAATTACATATATACACAGGATTTTTTTCGTGGCAATCATCTACTTTGGGTTGTTTGCGTTTCTTGATTCTGTTTTTGAATAATGTGCAGATTCGTCTGAGGGATAATGGGGTTTTAGATTTTGATTCAGGTGATGCTCGTAGGCAGCCTCCAGTTGATACTACTTGGCAGCAGGTTTTGCATAACTTTCCCTCATGCTCTAAATTTTCACCCTTGTCCTCAACTATTAAAGTGAACTACAAAACCTTTTTATTGCTGTTCCTCAAGTTTCTCAACGTAAGAGTTGATTTAATATACCTCTTTGGTTACAGATATATTTTTGCTTGAGAACTGGTTATTATGACGAGGCTAGAGAAATCGCCCAATCTTATCGGTCATCTCAACAGTTCGCTCCTCTGGTATATCTTTAGATCTTAATAACCTACAATTAAACTTTTAGAGTTGGCTCTTGATTTGCTTTTTTTTTGGCAGCTTACAGAGTGGATTACCGAAGGTGGTACGGTGGCTACAGAAACCGCTGCTATTGCTTCTGAAGAATGTGAGAAACTGTTTAGGATGGGTGGGTTGGGCCGAACAACATATGACAAGAAGAAGCTCCTACTCTACACTATCATATCTGGTTCCCGAAGGCAAATTGATCGCATCTTGAGGGAATTTTCGACGCTCTTTTACACAATAGAAGATTTTCTGTGGTTCAAGCTATCATGCATATGTGACGTTGCTGGTGGATCTTCATCTGTGGTCTTTAACGATGGGCTAGTGCCATACAGTTTAGATGATCTTCAGGCTTATCTTAATAATTTTGAGCCTTCTTATTACACTAAGAATGGCAAAGACCCTCTGGTATACCCATATGTTCTGCTTCTTAGCATTCAATTACTATCGGCGATCATGCACATGTCCAAAGAAGCAGGAGATGAAGGGTATAACATTGATGCTGTCCACATAGCTATCTCGCTAGTGGACCATTCCGTTCTATCTGAAGGATCTGGGACTGGCCACAAACTAAGTTTGATGGATGCTAATGCCGAAGCATCTAGCATGATAAGGCAATATGGGTCGATGTATTTGCATCACGGTGATCTGCAAACAACGTTGGAATACTACGCACAAGCTGCTATCGCAGTAGGTGGGGGACAACTAGCTTGGTCTGGAAGAAGTAATGTGGATCAACAAAGGCAAAGGAACTTGATGCTGAAGCAACTACTGACTGAGATTTTGTTACGAGAGGGTGGTATTTACTTTCTGCTTGGTGCTAGTGGTTCTGGTGAAGAAGGCGAGCTTGGAAGATTTCTACCTGATTCAAAATTGAGGCAGCAGTTCTTGATCGAAGCTGCGCATCAATGTCAAGAAGCTGGATTATATGAAAAAGTAAGTTGCTTTTGAGGTTTTTGGTCATATACTAACTACTTGAAACATGCTTAGTGAACTGCGATTGGTTCTATGTTCAACTGAAGTGAGTTCACATACCAATTGCTTAATGCTTTCCATGTTAACGCCTAACTGTTTGTTATCAAATGCAGTCTATAGAAATACAGAAGAGAGTTGGTGCCTTTTCGGCTGCTTTGGAAACAATAAACAAGTGTCTATCTGAAGCCATTTGCTCTCTTATCCGTGGAAGGTCAGATGGTGAAAGCCGAACATCAGGGCTTGTTCTCTCGGCCAACGATATTCTCAATACCTACAAATATTACGCTGAAGTCGGGTAAATTACAGACTCTGTATTCTTTCATTTACTTGTCTTAGGTTTTGTATATGTTGAATAGGTAGTTTCTCATTAGAAGTGTCACACTCTTGTATACCAGTGTCCAGGAAAGAGAGCGAGTCATGGAACAAGAAACAATACTAAGAGAGCTTGAGGCAATACTGTCGATCCATAAGTTGGCCAGACTAGGCAATCATCTAGACGCCTTGAGAGAAGTCGCGAAACTCCCCTTCCTTCATCTCGATCCAAGACTGCCCGATACAACCCCCAACGAGTACCAGAGAGCATCCTCTTACTTCCAGACATGTGTTCCTGACTTACTTAAGGTAGTTATGACCTGCCTGGATAATGTACCCGACACTGATGGATCGATCCTGGCCATGAGATCTAAGGTACATAACAATAAAACATATACATGGTCATGATAGATCATGATTAGGCTTCTTATTCATGAACTGAGATCTTTGTTTCTTTCACAGATTGCTGGGTTTCTTGCACGCAACACAGACCGGAACTGGCCTCGAGACTTGTACGAGAAAGTTGCTCGAAGCTTTTGAGTGTAAGAAATTCAAGTAACTTTTTTGGATATCTTAGTAAGATCTAAGAAGATGTTGAGCTCTGTTTGATTTCCTTTTTGTTTACTAAAGTATTTTAATATCAAAAGCAAAATCTTAATTAAGAGATGCACAAAATCCAAGGATCGTATGTTAAGTTCTAAAGCATCATAATCCAAAACAATAAACAAAAACATATATCAGTTTCGGCATGAAAGTGTTTTTATAACCTGATAATTACCCCATTGGTACTAGCTTCAGTGATTTTTGTAAGCAGCAGTTTCCTCGAATCTCCTCATCATGTCGCAATGANGCGTTTCGCGAACGAATCCCCATTGTTGCCTCTGCAGCTCATACCTACAATTCTGACTAAGTATAGACACATAATCTCTCTCAACTTGTTCTTCCAATGTGTATCGATCGTTACTGTCTCGCGGATAATCCTGCTCAAATTTCGACGATCTCACAAAGTAATTAACACCTTTCTGTGTTGTGAACTTGTAATTGTAAGGATAAGTTGAAGAGAGTTGATAAACAGGTTGAGAAGAAGGCATGAAGTTGATCAGTAGTATGAGTATAACAGGTAGAAGCTGGAGAAGTATACGAGCATTGAAACCTGCATCAGGAGCTTGATGATTATTAGTTGTTCTATGTCGACTAGCTCCGAAATTAAACGTTCGGAATTGAGCAGTCGCTGGTGGCATTCCTCCACCACCGAAAAAGCTTCGAAAGATCTCGTTCGGATCGAATTCGTCTTCGTAGTAGTATCCACCATTGAATCCATTACTCCTCGCTGAAGATCTTCGTGGCTGATAGATTGGTTCATCGGAACCACTAACGTCGTATTTTTTCCGAGCTTCTTCGTTGCTTAAGCATTGAAACGCTTTCGATACAGATTTGAAAGCTTCTTCTGAACCAGGAGCTTGATTCTTATCTGGATGTACCTTCAACGAGAGTTTCCGATATGCTTTCCTTATATCATCCACTGAACAGTTATTTTCAAGACCTAAGATCTCGTAATAATCCTTCTTCGATTTTATCTTTCTCACGATCGAGATCTGTTCTTCGGTGTATGACTTCGAAGAAGAAGACGGTGATGTTGTTGATGATCCACGTTGACGTAACGAAGGCCGATCTGATGAATCCAGCGAATCTTTTGCTCCGGTTGCAGATCCAGGCGATTTCCTCGATTCTGGTTTCTCTGACTGATTATTAAGGTCGGAGAGAAGATCGTCGATTTGAAGATCTGGATCTAGACGACGAGCTTTTGATAGGAATTTCAAAGCTCGAGGTCGATCTCCAGCTTTCATTGCATCTTTGCAGATTTTCAAACACTTCAACGCATCGTCTTTGTTTCCATCCATTATCATACAAATCTCGAAACGAGCCCTAGAAAACCAACAGATTGAGAGAAATCAGGAATCGAAGAAGCAAATCTCGATCATGAGAGTGTTGGGAGATCGAAGTGAGCTCCTTTCGAAATTAGGGTTTCTCTCACCGATCGGATTTTTCAGATTGGAATGTGGAAGAAGACGACGACGACTATTGGAAGGCAACAATTTACTATGGAGAGATAAAGACACATATTTGAGATTAGCGTACCAAAGGTTTCCCGACAAATATCAGTTCCGGTTTATGCAAAATTTGAGCAATTCCGGTTACATACTTTATTTAATGCGTATAGTCGAACCGGTCCAAGTTTTTTCTTCATTTTATATATTCTTTCTTCAAGGATCTTGGATCCTTTAACTACAAGATGCAAGGTGATACAGTAATACTTAATTACGAACTGGGACTATTAAAGAGGCTTAACCAACTTTCTTTTGTACCATTGTAACAAAGAGGATCAAGATCAGTACTATACAAGCTTGATAGTCTTTAAAGCTGTGTGAGTTGTTTTCACGGCACTCCATGTGCAATCAATAATGGCTTGAACTGATCATAATCTCACCTGAGAGCATTTCTTGCCATGACTCTCTGATCAAATGGTACCATGACTTTGGCTACTTTACATCTGTTTCTCTTCACATTCTTTCGTCTTAATTCGCTTTGTTCGATGAAAAAGTATGTATTTTCTTAAATATGGTTTTGCAATGGTTAGAATATTGTCTTTAGTGTAGTTCTTGATTGTGTGTGTCAAATGTTGTATTGTCCTGAATAATTTACTTAAAAAGACTTGCAAAATAACATATCTTCCAAGATTTTCATTAGTGAATGTGAAATATAAATAGTGGGGAGGGTTTGTTTGTTGGCAGGGGCAGTCTTATTATTATCATAGTATGTGTAAATAAAATTTAAAGACTTGTTACTTTATTTCTTTGTGTTAAATAAATAAGACTTGATACTATTTTGTTTGTTAAGTAAGACTTTGTTAATTGGGAGAAACTAAGTCAAACATGGGTGGCAAACCAATGAACAGCTATGAAACCCTCCATTAATGTATTTAAATGCATTTTTCTGACTAATGGGCCTAAGCTTTTCTTACATTAAAAATTTCAGTCTCAAATTATACACCATTATATATAGTTTACCCATACAGTTAGTTTTAAATTGACCAGTTTTCTGATTCCTCTATAATTTTTTTTATTAAATTGTCTATGAAGTATATGATTGTTTTCAAGTCTAAAGATGTCTGTACTAGTTTTTTTTTATATGGATATTCTTTTAAAGGTACCAGATTTATGATCAAAATGTGTTTTTTTATTTTTATTTTTGATAAACCGTAAGAGTTCCGAACTTTTGGTTTATAATCTCTTCGATATCCGAAAACAGTTTTTGGATATTCCGATTTAAAAAATAACCCTCTGTACCAAAGAGGGTTTGAATCCGAACATAAAGAAACCAACCCTTTATGTTACCACTAGACCACAACACCTTTAGTAAAATGTGTTTTTTATTGTCAACTTGTTTAGAACGGTACTTGTAAACTAGGTTTAAACTTTGGATTGTTGCCGTCTCTTATTCGTTTTGTAGCAAAATAGTTGATTTATTTTATGGACTTGCATACAAAGAACAAAAAGTCTTGAATACTTTGGTAAAGAAATGTGTACAAGTTTTTTTTTTAAAAGAAAATTAAGAAATGAAAAAATTGAAGGAAAGAGAGAAAAAGGTTGGTAGAGGAAGCGCGGCCTCATAAAGTGAGATGATTTACCTTAAAACAGAGCAAGTTGGATGGCTTCTTGCTAATACAATATTGTCCACTCACATCCAAAGCGACAATCCATTTGCTTTACTTTAAGTATATTCCGGTTTTGTAATTTTCTTTTTGGTAGGATTTATGGATGATAATCTTTCTAATTTTGGATTACACACCAAAATAAAGGATGATCGTCAAAATAAAAAGATTAAATTTTACAAATTGTTTTAAGTTAAGTTCTGCCCAAATTTGACTTATATCTACAATCGGGTAATTCGTTACACATATTTCGTCGGTTTAGTGAAACAGATAGATTGAAAAAAAAAACTTCCAATGCATATTTATAGTAAGCTTGGTACAACAAAACCGAATATTCGGCTGATTTATCGGGTCGGATCTTGAATAACTTTAATTTATTTATTTTAATACTACCATTCAATTTCATCACGAACAGTACAAATACGAAACCCACAAAAAGAGGACGTAGACTTTCTTCGAGGTTGAGATCGGGTCAAAATAAAATTAATAAAACGACCCAATTGATCCGAAATGACGGCCCGACCCGGTTTATAAAACCCGTTAACCCGACTAATTCGGGTTTGGACACTAAATAAAAACTCACACACATACGCACAACAAACTCCCACGTTGCGAGAGAGAGATTTAGCATAAAGAATAGGAACGAACAAATCCT